AAAATGGCTGTAATTCCTAAACGGTTAATGCAATATTTTTGTTAAACCCCTTGAATTAAAGCTGAAAGTCTACGCTTCAGTCACATCTTGACTGCTTCATTTCAAATCCACTGTGGTGGTGTACAGAGGCAAAATTACCAAAACTGTGTCACTGTCCCAATATTTATGGACCTGACTGTATATATATATATATATATACTCCGATCAGCCATATCATTAAAAAACACTGAGAGGTGACGCAAATAACATTGATTATCTCATTACAATATATACAATTATAATATAAATTATAAAATATAATACTGAGCATATACACCAATCAGTCATAACATGACACTGACAGGTAAAGTGAATGACATTGATTATCTTGTTACAGTGCCATCTGTCAAGCGGTGTGATATATTAGGGAGCAAGTGCACAGTCTTGAAGTTGATGTGTTGGAAGCAGGAAAAATGGGCAAAAAGACTTTGACAAGGCCCAAATTGTGACGGTTAGACGACTGGGTCAGAGCATCTCCAAAACAGCAGGTCTTGTGGTGTGTTCCGGGTATGCAGTTATACTATAGCTTGTACCTTCCATAGTGCCAGAAAATTATGCTTGCATTGCAGATTTTTTTTTTCTCATTCATTCCTTCTTTCATTTATTGTCTACTAAAAGTAAATTAAAGCAGCTAAAATATGTTATAATCTTGGACATGTTTCTCCGCACTCATTAAAGAAGCTTAATACTTTCTTTCTTTTGTTCTTTCTTTCTTTCGTTCTTTCTTTCTTTCTTTTACTAGTAAACACAAGGGAACATACTTGTGTTATATTGCTTAATAATGATGTTCACTAACTAGAAAAAAAAAGGTCAGAAAGTGGGACTAATTATTGATGCCTTATAAAGAAATATGTAAAAAAAATTACAATTTGTGTCTTGCTAAAAAGGAGTGAGAATTTGCAAGTGATCTTATGAGAGGTCCTATTTAGTGATGCAGGAATAAAAAAAAAGAATACCTCAAAAAGCAATCTCATAAATGTAGAAATAGTATAAATGTTAGTTGGCATTGGCAGTATGGAGGCTATCAATCATCCTAGTCATTTTTAATTGTCAACTTTTGCATATCAGATCAGGGTATCTGGACATATTGTATAGACATAAAAAAAGATTGTATCATTTATAGAGTTTAACCAGTTCTCCAAGTACTAATTCATTAATATATGAACATGTTCTTCAGCTAGGCAAAGCACTTATATAAGTCACTCTAGATAACAGAGTTTGCCAAATAAGTGTAAATATAGATGTACTGCATGGTGAATTGCTCTTGGTTTTCCCCAGCTACACCTCAGGACTAACTCAGAGCACTTTCAAGTCTCATTTTCAACCCCTTAAGGCTAAAATGGCTGGACAAGGCTGAGCTGATTGAGAATGAAGTGTGTTAGAGAGGCATTTGCTGTTTGGGCAGCTGCTCTAAAGAGGACAGAGTGCAGTGAGACATTCGTAATCACAAATCGGCATCAGCCACAGTTCCCAGGGGGCAACGCAATCAAATGGATGTTTATGAAATATCCTACATAGAATGAGCGGCCGCTGTTCGTCCTACGCTGATTAGACCTGTCAGAGATTGTTGACTTTATTTATTTATTTATTTATTAGGGTTTTATAAAAAAAACAAGAAATGCACAAA